ATTGTTGTTTGGCGGGTCCGGGCTGGGGATTCGAACCCGCCACCTTAGGTGTACGTGGCTGGTGCCTTAGCCGGTTGAGCCACAGGCGCCGAGCCGCCACCCTATATCTTAACATGTGTTCTTGAATTGTTCTTCCAGAACCCCTACCAGATGGAAAATGTAGATCAAGAGGAACTGAGGATTAAATTCTGGACACTCTTCTTTGTTCTCCCTGGGGGACCTGGAAAGAGCCACACTCACCTTAATGTTCCTTTCCTATAAGCAAAGAATCTCTGAATTTATTTATGACCACCACCCCCCACCGGCCCTCTTCAGGGAGTTTGAGTGTTAAGCATTAGGTGCACATACTCTTTGCATGGCCCTATACAATAAAATGTCTTTCTCTTCTTGCTACTCTTGGGATCAGTATCTGGCTTTGCTGCAGTGTGGGAGCGGACCCCAGCTTGCTTTGGTAACATAAGCAGGTGAAAGGTACTCAACATCACCAAAAGCACATGTATTGAGAATAAGATGGAGTCAGGCAGGCTAGGGCAGGTTGATTTAGGTCCTGCCTGACCTTCACCTCATCTCCCATTCTTACTATTCTGTGCGTTTAGCTCACGCCCTAAAGATACCTGTCTTGAGGAGTTTAGGTGAATTGATTTAGGAAATTAACTTTTAAACTGAAATGTTGTAATGTTGCAGGGAGACAAGGCCCAATGGAGAGAAAGAGCACCCAAACACCATGATTATAAGAGGAAGGGCTTTACTTCACCCCACAGAGTGAGACACAGAAGAATTCAAAATGGCCACGCTCCCCGACTAACTCAGCTTTTGCTTTTTATCCCCAGTCAAAAAGTTCCGGCCCACAGGTACCTTTCTCATTGGTCAGTTTGAATCAAGCTGGAGAAGTGGGCTCCAGCTGTTATAGAACCATGGGCTTTCACAGAAGTGAGCATCAGCCTCCAGGTCCCAAGAAATGAAGTCTACAAATTCCTAAGAGCTGAGTCACCTGGCTCAGCACCTGTGGCTAAAGTGGCTAAGGCGCCAACCACATACACCCAAGGTGGCAGGTTCGAATCCCTACCTTTTTTTTTTTTTGAGCACAATATGTCTTTTGCTGCAGTTCTTCTTTCTTAGGTGTCTTTTATGATACATTTTCACCTTTCACATTTGACTTCACACTACTTTTCTATAAAATTTAAGGCACGGAGGTATTTCTGATTTGTCCTACAGTTTCTTTCCCAACTCCTTCCAATGCAGTACTTTCTTTCACATGGCGCTGCAGGCATTAAACTTCAGAGTCACCTGGCTGGGCTTTCTTATTTCCCTGGTCTGGACCAGCATTCAGATTTCAGGGACTCTGACCACTCTTGGGTCCTCTACCCAGGCCTTAATTGTACCATGGTAGGGGGTTCTGTGGAGTTGTAATATACATATTCACCTTTCTCTGTGTCACATATTGAGTATTGTATAAGATTATGAGTGCAAGCTCCTTCCTAGGTGCCTTCACATTTACAAAAGCTATGAAAGTGTCACCTTTTTTGTCATATCTTAGTGGTGTGAGTGCACAGATCACATTCTTCCTCAACCTTTCTCAAAGTCCAAAGACCAATTAATTCCCCAAGTCCCATGAGGAATTTCCTCAGGCTTCAGCCTTGCACTGACTAGCCAGTTTCCAGTATGTGGCTGGGCAGAACATGTTGACTGCCTCAAAAGTTACCTTGCAGGGGTTGGCTGGATCTGTTTTTTGTTTCTCATGGGGAGGGGAAGCTTTCTTCAGCCTGTTGTGATGGATCCAGGAGAGAGGATCCCTTCGCTGCTCTGGGTGGTTAGGCTGGTGATTTAGGGTCCTTTCCTCCTTGGTTTGAGGGGATCCAGGTTCTAATCTTTAACTTAGACTTGATTCCCTTGAGAGAAAGGATGTACAGACCCAAAAGACTGAACAGAACATGGTTAATTATCTAAGTGGAGATTTTCCTTGATACTCTTTCTAGGGCTACAAACTGCCTGTTCAATTTAGTCTCTCCCAGTTCTTTTAGGAGTTCCTCTAAATTGCAGGAGTTTCTGCTAAGTACATTATTTCTTAAGGGGAGTACCCTGACCTCTTAGAATGGGTACATTTAATATTGAACAAGACCAGTGGCGAGGCCTGTACCCAATTAAGCTTTGCTTCCTGGCAGAGTTTACTAATTCCTGGTTTTATGGCTCTGTTCATGTGCTCTACCCTGCCAAGCTTTGATCCCTATATGCCACATGTAGTTTCCAAGTGATATTCAAGGCTTCAGCTGTCATTTGCACTATTTCTGTTACAAAG